AATACGATTGGTTGAACGCTCCATGAGGTTCAACGTTACCATGTAACGAACCCTTTTCGAGTACAGATCAACATTGCGTTTGTTTTGAGAGTAAACAAAACGAAACATCGATGTCACATGGTGATACATTTGGATGAGAAAAATAATATAGCATTTTAAATAATCATGGGCGCCACCTTTCGAGTATGAAATGGTTTAGCATAATTTATTCAGCTTTTCTTGAAATATAACTTTGAATAAGCAAGCCTCGTCTTCCAAAATAGAACGCTGCTCGTTTATATGTTAGGAAATATAAAAAAAACTTGATGTATAGCCGAGAAAAAATTCTTATCAAAATGTCAATAACTTGCACGAATATATTACAACCCCTTATGTTACTTTTATACTTTGACATCAAAGATAATCCGTACTTTTGTACTTGAAACATATGATTATACTTTTTTCTCTCTCGATGCTATGCTATTCAAACAACTATCAATACAGAAATATGGTTTTCACTGCAGGAAAAGTTACTTTTTTTTCTTGTTTAGCTATAAGCATGATATTTTCAATAAATAATTGTTCCGCTGAATTATTCAGTAATTGTCCCCATTTCAAGACTAAAACATTAGGAACGGAAAAGAATTGCCTTTTCTCGATACTCCGGTAAAAACATCGTACAGAATGAAAAAAAGAAATAGTCAGAAAAAAACAACATCCAATCGATAAATAACAACAAATGTTGGCAACTATACTCCATAAAACATACTTCAGCAAGAGATAGAAAGAAAAAGTTCGTTCTCAAATTTCTTCCTATTTTGGTATGATAAAGATTACAATTGTTCGATGTTTATCTCATTTATTCTGGATTTTTCTAGTTTCAGTAGATAGAAATTTTTCCTATTTTTAACGTGCCATGACCCATGATTACTAACAGAGAAAAGGAATATTGACGTAGATGCTAGAACGGCGAAACAGCAAAATGTTTTTTTCTTTCTATCCCACTTTGGAAGAAAAACGTGCTTTTTTCTCATCATATTTACTCATCTGGTGCTCTTTTACCCAGTGCAAATATATATTTCTCCTTTCTATAGCAATACTGTTTGGTTTTTACCCAGCCTGAAGGTTGATGTAATCATAGATATATATATATGATCGCTGCTTTCGTGATGATGTTTTCCAGTTTGATCAGTGCAGTAATGCTTGATGGTGAACACAAATATTCAAGGATGAGAAAACTAGATTGACGATAAGAAATTATAAAATGGTTGATAGACGTGTTTCAACAAAATGCACGAGAAAAAGAGTAAGTAAAATGTTTTAGGATTCGTGGTGGTGATTTAGGTTTTTTTTTCGTATGCATCATTCAGTGAGTGTAGATGATATGTAATTGTACAACAATTCGAGATAGATTTCTTGAAGATGAATAAGACTTCATTTTTAATTGATTCGGAGAAAAGAACTTACATGATGATTCTCAGCGAGGAGAATTCCATAGGCTGCAAATTATACTTGCGCAGTTGTCAGAATTTCGAAACAGTCGTACGTTACGTCATGATGATTGGTTTTTTTTTATAGGAACTACAATGCTGACAGTTGGTCAACAGAAATTTACTTTAAAGAAGCACAGTAAATTATATTGATGACGCATAAACAAAATGAGCTTCGCTGTGTTTATATGGTGTACAATAGTGCAGTGCAAATAATGCTAGTCACAAATATTCTAGTCGTGATCAGGAACTAATTGAAAGATATGTTCAGATGGAATATTTTTCAAATATTTGTGGGCGTTATGAATGCTTATTTGATCAGTCTCATCGCATTCAAAGGAATTCTTATTGAAAAAGAATCCCAAGAAACAGTGGGAGACTACAAGAAATATTATTTGGCCAATCAGTTGGAGAAAAAATGTACCAGAAGATTCAAGCCGGACATTTCATGTGCTTGCTCTGTGGAAGGATCAAAATGAGAACAAGTCTTGCAAAATAGTTGGGATTTGAAATCAGGAATTGAAGGAATTCATGGAATACTAGTCTTTATAGATTTATCTATGAGCCAGTATCTTTGAATGAATTTCTTCAGTCTTCGGTTTAGTCTAACTAGTACAAGGCTAGTTGTCATTAACGAGCTTCCATGGTTGAATTGGGATGAATGTCTATCTTGAGCATAACGTTGTAATCTCAAGACTAAGATGAAAGGTAGATTTTGGCAGAAATATACTTCGGTTCCAGTATGTGTTAGCAAACTTCGTTTCAACAAAAACAATCCGAGGTCGATCCACATCGTATTCTTATTGCATCTAAAATGACACTTCACACCTGAACAACTTCAACACACAACACTGAATGTCCTTTGTGGCACAACAGCCAATTTGTTCAACACAATATCATTTGGTACAAGAATGACAAGCGTAAGTTCTGCGGTTCAAAAAAGATAAATGAAAGGATAAAACAACGTTAAAAACACGTTAAACGGTAGTCATTGAACTCGATAAAAAGAAGATCGCGGTGGCGACTTTTGCAACGATCAACCAGAAAGGAAGTGCGGGTCGTTATACCATTACGACCCGGATCGAATAGCTCATGTGATCAAGGTTGCTGTTGCTGAAGGGCCTCATCCGCTACGGAACCGGATGGAGGCCTCATCTCAGTGGATGAGGCCCTTTTCATTTTTATCAGAAGATGATTAAACTTTACAGCAAACCACACAGCAAGCCATACAAAAAAACACATATTATCAGAAGTTTGTCGGTAAATCCGAAGCTACATCATCACAGTCTTTGCTAACTGCACAACTGATACACAGTCATTGACTGATATACAGATAAATGGTCACTGAGGTTAGAGTGATGTAATCATAACAGAGAATTCATTTAGGTAATATTTTATGTCAGGGATAGGATATTGTTATTGTTTTTTATATATTGTTTTTTTGTACATAATATAGTAGAAGAAATATGAAATAATGGAAACAGTCACGTCTTTGGAAAGAAAGCCAACAAAAAATTATATGTAAAAACCGAGAAAAAGTTGTTAACTTAGCGGATTATGCACTCATAACTATGGTTTTATTAGAATGAAAAGAAAGAGAAACATTATAGTAATAGATAAGTTAATATGAGAACTTCCGTTACAAAAGTCTGTATTGCAACAATATATTTCAGCGTCGGCAGCTGCTGCTTGAGTTGGACAAAAGAATACTGTACCTTTGGATACTAAACGACGTCCATCGGCCATCTTCATGATTGTTTTCTATGTACATAAAAAAAGATCGTAATTGAGCATTGTATTTTATGCATAAAACAAGAAATCATTACTTACTGTACATTTAGCAAGAAAGTTTGTATTATTCGCTAATGTTACATACGGATAGGTTTCTATAAATGGTTCTGGACAATCTGTACATTGAAAACATGTAATTGAATCAGCTGTAGGAGCGTCTAAACAGAAACAAATTGATGATCTATGATTGATATAATCATTAGAAAGTTTTTACAAATGAAGATTAGTATTCCAATGAGAAATGGATGAATCGGCATAGTAAAGATCGATTCTGTTCAATTCCAACGAATGATGAACAAATGACAATCGAATCGAACTTTCTTCATCATCCCTCCGCCATATTGAACAAACATCTATTGAACTCTTCTATCATTCTATTGACTAAAGAAGGTGTATATCTATTGTTCTCTATCAATTTCTTTTCATAATGTAACATTAATTGAACAATTCTACTCTTATTTCATCTCATATTACATAAAACAAATCGACATTGTCCTACTTCAATATTTTTTCGAATTTCAATCGTTTGAATGTATACCATTCATCATATTGACATGATCAGTCAAGTTTACATAGCTGACTCATATATTATTCAAGAGATTCATAGTCTTACTAGATTGTTATGTGTTTAGCATAGTTGTTCTGCAAGACAAAATTTCTGTTGTGACCTTCTTTCAGTTTGCTGCCGTTATTTGTCATGTAAAATTATCAATTACCAGAGTTAATAGAAATTACAATCTCAAACACGAAAATAAAATAGCAAATCATCGTCTATCAACACATTGTGTAGAGTCCAACCTTCAAATATCAATAGTAATCATTCAGCAAGACATACTAAAACATTTCATTTTCGATTGCGACTGCGTCAAATATGGTCAAGTGTAGATACGTGTTCTTCTTTTACCTTTTCATCGTTGCAAGCAGTGAGTAGTTTGAAATTTGAACGCTCTTGTTCGAATCTGAACCATTCACATCGTTTGTAGAGTTTCGAACCAGTGAAAGTTTATTACAATGTTATCTTTGTGCTGATTGTGGTGACCCGTTTAGTGCAGCGTATCCTTACACAAGTGTTGTAACTAATCAAAACTACGGTGCAGCTTGTATTGTAAGTCAAACTTCGATTGACCATTTGGTCTCGTATATTTCACTCTTCTTTTGTCCAGAAAACAGTTTTAACCGTGCCTAATGGAAAGCTTATCAGTCGGGGCACAACATTCAGCTGTACACAAGCATCCACAAGTGATATCAAAGTGTATTGTTGTCAATCGGACCTCTGCAATACGTCAAACTCATTGAAACATCTAACATTTCTTTTATTGATTTCATTGATTATGTATTTGGTTTGCTTTTGAATTGAATACGAAGAGTAAAAGAATATTTTACATGCTGAGATATCTTGACTAGGTCAAGTGCTTGTTAAACGATTGTCCGACAGTAAGCATACCGTCCTAGATGACATTGTCTTTCAAATGAGCCTATCGATTATTTATATCCCAGTGGAAATCAGAACATGTCTTCGATGATGCAAAGAAATCGATGTACTCGACAGAACAGGACACCTATGGTCTTAAACGATTTCTATTTAGTGAGGTGCTGTAGGTCATAATGATCGAGTGATGATTCTGTTTGTTGCAATCGATCTATTTATTTTCAAACTACAGTTAAAATACGAACGTGAAACTGGCTTTCTTAATCTATTTCATACATATATTCATCGATTTACATACAGAAACTTGATTTTTAATCAATAGATTCTGACGGGATAGATCGAATACGGCGACAGCGTCGCTGTTGACTTTTCGTGGAATTGGAAACGATGTCATAGAACGGTTGTTCATACTTGGCACGTAAACGTCGTTCGAACCGAAGGAAACTTTGTCGTTGACGTTGTAATTTCTGTTTTAACTGTCGGAAATTCAATCGTTTGTTTTTGATCGGCAATGAATAACGTCGTTTTTGCCGTCGATGATGACATTTATCTTTGGATAATCTCGCTTCGATCTGTACTTGAATTTGCGCGTCAACTAATTTCCGTGCTTCATGCTCAAGCCGCTTACTTTCCTCTTGTAAATGTGCCGTTGTTGCTATCAACTCAAACAATTCATCATCTAGAAAAAATATTGCCGAAGAAAATGAATTTTATTGTCTAGAATGAAATATACATACGAAGTTGTTCAAGTATTTGACTGACTTGTTCAGTGGCTGTATTATCAACTTGAACGTCGTCGATCTAATTACAATAAAGATCATCAGAAAAGCCGAAAAGTTCGACTTACTTTCCGTTCTCGACACATACGGACAAAAAAAGATATGGAATTAGAAATAATCTAAATAGAAGATTGTTGTTTTGTTTTACTAAAAGATTTCCCATGAATGACTATCACCATCCTCTGTGTTCCCTCTAGTTTTATTTTATTGCTCTCATGTTCATCACCACCATCATTCACCTAGAGTATCGACATGTCGAATACAACACACACACACATGTGAAGGGAAAGAAAAAAAGGTAGAAGAAACAAATAATAACAAGAACAAGAAAAAGAACACATGCAGGAAACGATAAAGAAAATGAATCTGGCGGATATAAACGACTGTTTTAATCTTGCATTTCTAGAGAGAGAAAAACGAACAAGAACTGCTCGAATATCTAAGTGGAAAAAGGTACATGAAGTTCTTTAAATAACAAATAAGTTGGTTGTGAGAACAAATGAAGACGAATCTGATTGAATCACTTCAATTTCAAACAACGAAGTTGTCGTTAATGATGATATGAAAGACAACAACATGTATGTAGCGATCGAAATGTTTGAAAACGATTCAGCCATGGAAATACGGTCAAAGCCGATGAAGAAGATGTCTTTGGACGATTTTCCAATTCACCCTGTTGACATAAACATAACGCTAAGATGCGAACATAAGATGCAACATGATCATCGGATATTAAATAATCAATGCCATTTGACGACATGAAATCCACCACAGAAGAATCATCTAGTTAAATATTAAAAACGATTTATCAAATGTTAAGTCAAGACAGTTAAGTGTCAATTCGAAGAATCGTCTAGGAGAAGAAGAGTTTCGATATTTATATTTTGAATATCAGCAAAGATTGATCTGCTTAAGTAGTCTGTTCGTGATGTACTCAAAATATAAACGATATTACATATGAAATGATCAAATTACTTATTGAAGATTAGTATTTATTATTCATATTCTCAAGGATCACCGACATTCAACATGAGAATATGTTTAGCAGCTTAATCCAAACACGAGAAAGAAAACAACACGTATACCTATCTGATATCTCCTTTTACCAATATGTAGATCATCGAATGAACTTCTCTTTTCGTATTAGTTAAAGATAAATAAGATGACATCTTGAAACATACGTGATGTAGACGAATGATTTCGTCTGATAAGTCGAATACGCGTATAATTTGAATTGATTTGTGGACAAACTTCGATCATATATCGACATACTCCAGTCTGAATCAATTCAAAATCGGCAAATTTCTCTTCGAGCAAATCAACAAAACTTACCTTTAATGTTTTCATGTCGAATGGATGTTCACTTTCATTGTATACAATAATGACACAATCATTTCCGATTAATTTCTTTTTAAATTCATGATCAGCTCGCGTATTCGGCATTAATGTTGATGTATGAAACAGGACTAGAATAGACTACAAATTTTCGATTCCATTCTTCGTTTCGAATGAGTTTACCTTGATAGACTGGATTCTGCCAGACATAAGCATACTGACCGCAATTATCTGAGTTGTTCACGTCTAATAATGGACGGTAGAAATTGTCTTGTTCCAGACTTCTGATCGATTTTAATGTAGCAATTGATGACATGAATTGTTTATATCGTTGCGATGTTTGAATATTTGACAAAATGTTTGATTCCGTTATTTTCTAAAAAGTAGACAATTGATGTAAAGAAGTGAAATTAAACAAGATTTTACTTGTTCGGAATGAATGTAAATAACACCGATCTTCGCAACGCGGACTGGTTTAATGTTGTCTATTGGTTCGATGTATTTATGAGCATCCTATACGCAATTATAAAGAGTAGACAAAGATACGAATTTGGTTCCGAAATGGATCTTACGGATGGAACGCGATGAACTGTTCGAGGATAGTAATAGTCATTGTGACGATTCAAAAAATTTTCTTCATCTTTTCGACTAAAATGTAGTTCAATTTACAAAGATTTTCTAATATTTTTCTTCCCAAATACTCACTCAACATTGTTAACAACTGACTGAAGCTCATCTTTCAAAGCGATTTCATTTATTAAGTAACTTGTGTGTTCTTCTGCACAATAATTACAAATATCCTTCACTGATATGGATTTATCAGTACTTGTATCGGTTAATTTGATAGCTGAAACATTGAGATTTGAAAGCATCAAAAGAGAATTCGCAGCTTACCTTCAAACCAATGCAGTTTTTCGTTTTTTTGATGTAATAAGCCAGCTGAAGCTGATAGATTGATAGCTAGAAATGTTTTTGTGCTTGTAAACGAACGAACAGTAACTGCAATCCATAAGTTTCTTTCATTAAACATCGATCGATTCGTATCCAATTCTATTCAACAATGAAAAGAGTAATCTTCATCACGAAAATTCTCTAAACAAACCTAAAGATCGAACATGTAAATCATCTTGACATTTGGTCAACAAGTGTAATTCTTTATTCCTTCGTGAATGTTGCTTATTGCCATCTGTATATCGTCGAAAACGGTTTTTCGTTGCATCATCCCCTTCATGGGCGACTTTCGGCAGAACGTCCTTCGCTGTATTCAATTGATTGAAATCAAATGATTGAATTTGATACAAAATCTTCTCATCAGCCAACCAGCTATTGTTCAAATGATGACGACGTACTTCACGTGGTAATAAAACTAAAACTGAACTCGGCAGATAACATTCCCAAAGATGTTCATTGATATAGTTTGTTGTGATACGAAGCAATTCGTCGTTTAACTTTTTCAATGGATTATTGTCTTCAACGTTATTTGATGAGGACGATAAGATCGATGCGGTGTCTAAGACAGTCATTTTTCGTCTTACTGGATCATTTGCATGACTGTCGTCATTTAGTGATGATAACGAACCAGACCGATGTAAACGCGATGGACGTTCGAGAGAACTTGGTTCACAACTACGTGCTAATGATGTGGTTGGCAAGGACTAGAAAAAGAAGAGATCGAAGTTCGTTCGATCAAAGGAAATCTTACTCGAAGAATGAAATAAGCGAATAAATGTCGTTCAGGGTTTAGTAATTGCTTGAAATAGAAACATAATAATGTATGAGCTAGGATTAGATTATGTGCGGTTTGAGAGAGATGTTGATTGATGATATCGATGAGAATTTGAAATAAATAACGTGTTAACGAGATGTCATGAAACTTTTCGAATAAAAGATCTAAAATGGAATTTTTGTCTGTGGTTTGACTTTGTCATTTACGAGATTTTCAGTTCTTACGCATTAAAAACTCGAGTATTGTTTGTGTGATGTGCATATCGTAATTGGATGTTTTAGTTAATTGAAAAATAATTCGTGGAAGATATTCTTGAATTTCGTCCGAAAGATTCGCTAATGAGAGTGTAAATGCTTGAATGGCCATGACGATAAATGATGATTTCGATGAATTCATTGCTTCGAGAAAACAATTGATGATTGAATCGAGATGAGATATTTGAGTTTTGTAACTAGTACAGACGAGAAGACATTTCAATGATGATGATAGTTGAGTTTTGCTCAATAGATCGTCGTGAAACTAAAAGAAAAATATGATTTCAAATCGAATTTCATTGCCTTATCGTAATTACTTTGTCAATTAATAACGAAATCAATTGTTCAATATTAATTCCACTTAGTTTCACCATCGATTGTTCTTTCAGAAATGCGCAGACGTATTCCAAAATGGTATTGATCACGTCGGGTGATTCCTACACGACGAAAAATACAAAACTCCGAGGAAATTCGTTCGAAAGTCATCTTACCATTCTCAACCAATCGATCATATATGCTAAATATCCTGCAACAGCAAGTAAGTTCTCATTTTCAATTGCTTTATGCTCCGTATCCAATCTAAAAGGTTCGAAATCATCGATTTGTTCGATTCATCTCGAAATTTTACCGATAAACTCCATAAACGGTGAGATTCGTTTTAAATGAAATCATTCCAATCGCCGAATCCGATGAGCGTAGCCGCATATTCAACAACAACTGCCAGATAAGAAGACGAATTTTCGTCTGAGCAAACGAAACGATTTTCGCATAATTCGATGCACATTGTTGTACAAAGAAATCCAGTATAAACGAACAATGGTTGACCGATGTTAGACGTGAATAGGAAAGATTATTTTCAAAAAGTAGATACATTTGTTCAAGAATGATTTCAATCAGTGGTCGATGAATCGATTGAACCGACGTGATATGAGCACAATCTTGTTCATAGACCTAAAGACGAAGTTGAAAACGATTTTTTTCATCTGGAAAGTGCGTTACCATTTGAATGATCTTGTAACAATGATGGGCGATTGTGGAATCGATTGAATGATCGGAGAGAAAGTGTTCGAAGATAGATTTCACGGCATTCTGTTTCATCAATGCGTGTTTGGATAGAAATTCGTCTTCTGTCAACGCATTCAAGTCAATAAGAATCAAATTTTCTAGCGCATCTAGAATTATCAGTCCGATTGTGGTGACCTAAATGAAAGTAGATTCATGTTTAACTTTGTTTTGATAAAAGAAGAGTATGTCTTACTTGATCTGTCATTTTAAACCATAGATATTTCTCAAATACGGTTGTTAACACATCGATTCGCGTAGTCACTGCCTCATTTGCATTCCTAGAGAAAACCAGCGAAATAATTAATGAAATTCCGTGAAAATCTTACAAAATAATGTATTCGACGACTTCTTTCAATGCTGTTGACCATTCAGAGTTATTTGGTCGAATCAAACATAGCAACTTTGCATAAGATTGTTTGAACATTTGTTCACGAAGTGGCGTTTTCTAAATCAACAGAAAATCAAATGGTTAATAAGAAAAGAAGTCTTACTTGTATTGAAGTCAAACGTTTGATATCGAATAAATCCGTGACCATGTTATGTGGTAAACAGCACAATTGATTTGCTAAATTCGCAAGAATCATCAAACACTCTTCGTACATCGGAACTGTTGTCGGACTCTTTTTATCAATCTGTGAAAAATACATTGTGAGAAGTGTCAATGCAAAAATGATTTCTTACGATTAAATATTGATGACAAATCTTCATGATTTCGTGCATCATCTTCCAAACATTCATATTGAACAAATTCAAGGCACACATCGGCGTTTTTACATTCAATGTCGTTAAAAATTGTTGAAAGTTAATCAAAATTATATTTACGTTCTGACGTTTAACATAAACTTGATGGAGAACAGTCAACCAACATAATGGTAATTGCTGAATTGTATTCTGAAAGCATTTCTGATGAGTGATGTCCGCGTTCGATAGCTGAACGTGATGTTGATCAATCGAACGGTATTGACGAATGTCGATCAGTGTTTGAGTTAACACAAATAAAAGAGTTGACAATGGATCAATATCGTTATTCATCGGTGTCTCTAATCTAAAATTAACATTGAACACAGACGACCGAACGGAAATTTCAGTGGGTTTTACCTTTCAACAATTATACCACATAGGATAGATATGACAGACACACCGTAACTAGGAGTTTTTGGCAAGTGGGTAGTGATCAACTAAATTTGAGAGTGAATGTTTGAAAAGAAAGTTTGTTTGGCAATGAACGTACTTGCAATAATTCAGTATTTAATACTGCAGAAAACGTGTATTTATCATGTAAATCTACGATATTTTGAATAAAATAATGTAATAATGTTGTGTTTAGTGTATGATAATGAATCAGCCAACCCAAAATATCAAGGCATTTCTAAAATATTCATTTAGTTAAATAAAATTTTTCTTTCAAACAATTTTACTCTAATTGATTGTTGGTATAGATTACGATTAAGATTCAATGCATCATCCTCATCATGATTTAAATATTCGAAAATGTGTTCCACAACGACAGATATTTCATCGTAACGCAAATGACAAATATTTGTGAAGAGTTCTCTCAAGATCTGATTTGCATGATTGTTTCGACTCATTGGACCAGTTAGAACTGCATTGATCAATTTAGTTAGAATACGAACTAAATCAACAAGAGAATGAAGATGATCGCTCGACAATGGTTCGCTCTACCTCGTAAACGATCATCGATATGATCCATACGTCGTCCATTGTCAGTCAATGAGTAGAAACATTCAAGCCTAAAGAGAAATTCACAGAACTTTGTTGAATTTCTTCGTTATTTACCATAACACGGCGTCATTTTCATTCTCGATTTTATATCGAATCAGAAAATCGAATGAAAGCCAGAGATTAAAAAATCGCCGTTGTAGTTGCTAAAATAAACAAAATCAGTTCTATTAATGTTCACATATTTTCTTCAAAAATTCCGATCGGATCACTTACAACGGCTTTTTTTACACTTTTATTACAATTTTACTCAAATATTCGAATACAATGACAAGTATCGGATCAATCAATAAGAAAAATTGCTTCGTTTTATGTCAGTTATCTATCATTTCTATATATAACCCTTCGTTTATTTTGAATATTTCACCGAGACTAATAGAAGACTTGTTTATCAACGTCAATAGTGACGTTCTCAAAACAAATTTTTATGCAAGCCAGGTAGATAATTGATAAAATAAACGAGAAATCGGCAGTTAACGTCGACTATTCTCGTTTTTTCTCTTTCTCGAAAGCTCATCGACGAAAATCAAATGACTCTTCACTCATAATATACATTTACCAAGGTAAATAATTCAACCTAGTGCTTAATCGTCATTATACAACCGGGTATGAATAAGTAGAGTCGAAAAACCGAAATTTACGAATCGATTTTTGTATTTTAGTTAACAAATGTTGAATTCAAGCTTTCAAAAGAGAAAATCCCGTTCGTTAGAATGTCTTTCTCATAATTCATTATTGAAAAATGCAAAATGTCATAAATCATATCATCTTTCATTAATGAATCTCGAACGCCAATGTCATTTTAATGATGTTTCGAAAAATCGAACTAATGAACAACAAAAACATGACAATCAAGCTGGCAAAGAGCAAAAACAACAACAAATTTGTCCACGCCGTCGATCAATCATCAAAACATCTGATATACCACGAAGTACATTGAAAAAATCAGTGACATTTGCATCACTTACATCAGTATTTGATTTACCAGAAAATGAATACGAAATAGATCCTTCAGTAAAAGAATTTCAACCACATAAATTTCACTTCTAACACTTTCCTTTTCAGCCGTGTCACCACAAGACCATCATCGGAAAAGATTTCGTTATTATCATTCGAAATCGACACCATATCAATGACGACACAATCACGGTTAGTGACATTTTCCATCAACGAAGTCAATCTTGAGAATGTCCAAAATATTCTAGACAGATTCCGATGAAAATATCGAATCTCATTCAATCCATTCAAGAAGAGCTTCTCTAACTCAATCACCTCCACTACATGCTATCACAACCTCTCATCGTTCGCGAAAAAGTCTTCTTCACCACTTAATCCATCATCGTCATCACGAGAAGAAACATCACTATGAAATCGAATCGATCAATCGATCAATTTCAACACCTAATATGCGTTTTGCGTCCACGTCCTCGAATCATCCTGCGCATCGATTAAAAACGCTCCGCACATGGTGGAAATCATCGGCAATAAGTCGTTTTTTAAAATCGTTCGGTCAACAATCAGATACGACATATGAACAAAAAAATGCGCATCATTCACGTAAATTCCAAAGACTATCTAATCATCTACTCTAAGTTTGATAATACACTTACATCGATTTTGATTAATTCTGATATACATTTCAATGCCAACAAACGAGTTTCTGTATTTATTGACCCTTGTTGTTCTTCATTGGTTAATAAACCTGTAACACATAACCAAATACTTCCGAGTGTGATCTACAATCGAAATTTATATCGATCCCGTGTTTATGTGTGTGTGTGTGTTTGTTTCTTACCAGATCGATATCCGATTGTATTAAACAGTCAAGTAGATGTTTCAATGCTTCGATTCGTTCAAGATTTTGACCATTCGTAATCGTGTTAATATACTAAATTCAGAATTAAAATTTTTCATCCGAAAAAGTCGACTTTTGCTGTACCTGAGATGGATTATAAACAACTACAAAAGCTGATGCTGGTACTGATGGTCCAAGTGCCATGTTGAAATTGTGTTTTCTTTTGTTAAATTAGATTCGTTTGAATGAAAATATCACTAACATCTATTCTAAATAGTAGGAGAAATCAAATATAATGATGTATGCGAGATATTTTAAGTGAATATTTAACGATATATCAACTAAAAAGAGGGCAAATGGGTAAGACAAGAGAATACGACAATCACTTGCCCTTTCTGCACCACAAAAACACACGCGAGAAGAAGAAAATCAGCTGCTGTCTGTCAAATGAATCCATCGAATACCGAGAAAGAAAAACTCATTATAGAGGTCAGTATCGCAAAATTCTCGTTTCGATTGGATATCTCTCGATCTATCGAACAACACCCAAAACGCAATCGAAATCGGAAAAAAACAACAAATTCAATTTCTCTCAAATGGCGGAAATTGTCGAGAATCCCAATTTGAGTACACGTCGAAAATTAGATTTACTTTTACAAGAAATGGACACCATCTGTCGTGAAATCATTTCTCAATTATACAATCCCTCGTCCACAACTTCCAATCTCGATGCTAAAACACTCATCGATATGTTCATTGAACGGCAGAATTATCTAACACAACAAATTCAGATTGTTCGGCAACAACAGGAGCTCGAACGACAATTACAGATCAAACGTGATGAGATTCTCAAATGTGATCGCGCACTACGCTGTTTACAGACATATCTCTTACAAGCAGTTCAAGTACTTTCGTCAGCAGTTTACCAAGCACGTGAAAAATTAGCGAATATTCGTCGGGCGAAAACATTTCCTTCAGAAACAATCATTCGTTATGCTCATCAATTAGCGTCGTGTTATTCAACTATTGCACCAGATAATTGGCAACAAGGGGATCTACGGCGACCCTATCCAACAAATATCGATATGAGACGCGGTCTGCTCGGTCGGATTAGTGAACAAATCTTACAACGACAACAACAACAACAATTTACCATATCAAATCCAATGGTCACATCAGCGACAGTAGTCGATTCATCTGCGCCACAAAATATATCGTCTTCTTATACACCTGTGACGACAGCTGTACGGCCAGTTAAACATGATGCGACGTCGTTTGCATTGGATATTTTCTCGTCAACGAATGAAGATACGAATCATTCAAATTTCTCATCGAGTGATACAGATTCGTACGAGGATTTGTGATGTCTAGTTCATTATCTTAACTGTATATTATACTTGTTTCGATCAAATACGTTCGAAGGAAAAAAAGGAACTTTCTGTGCAAATTCTAAGTCAATAAATAAACAGGTGGAATACGGTTTATCTTTGCAATGACCGTTCTGTCATTAAAATCGTCTCGAGTTTACATTAAGATTAGATATAACCACAGCGGTGATTTGTTTTCTCGGTGCAAAAGATTTATGGCTAAAAAGTAACCAAAGCGAGAGTTGTTTTGATATGACGTCATTTCTTTTCTTTTCTTTCTTTTCGCTATATCATTATTGTACAGCAGATTTCGCTGATGTATTTAGTAAGAAACACGACTAGATACTTTTCTCAGTTCACTAGAAACCCAACAAAGCAGCACTCGAATGTACGACAAGAATTTTCTTTGTAACGGAATGTTCGATTGTTTCATATTTCAGATTACTTTCATGGCAAGTATGATTCCACATAACGACAAAACATTAACATTAGATTCGCGAGTGACGTTTCATGATAACAACTCTATGCCACGATTGGGTAATGATCGTATTGAAAATGCTTTATAGTATTTGTTCATCATGTCGATTTAGGTCTTGGGACATGGAGAAGCGAACCTGGTAAAGTTCAAAATATTGTGAGAGAAGCCATTCTCAATCATGGGTATCGTTTGTTTGATGGCGCTTGGATTTATCAAAATGAACATGAAGTTGGAAATGGAATTCATGAAGCTCTGGAACAAAGCCAAGGAGCAGTCAAACGCGAAGATCTTTTCATTACAACGAAACTATGGAATCAAGTAAATTCGATGATCTCTAGTTGATTTCTCGCGGATAAATCTTTCTTTCCTTTTCTTTAGCACCATGAACCTCAAGATGTTGAATGGGCAGTGCGTGACAGTTTGAAAAAACTTCGCTTAGATTACATTGATCTTTATCTTATTCATTGGCCGGTTGCATTCAAGAATATTTCCGATAATTTCTGGTCGCAAAAAGACGGTGAAAAAACACGACTCTATGCTGAGAATGTGACACTTGCTGATACATGGAAAGCAATGGAGAAATTAGTTGATGCTCAATTAGTCCGTTCGATTGGTGTTTCGAATTTTAATCAATCTCAAATTGATGAAATCCTTCGAATCGCTCGTATTCGACCAGTTGTCAATCAAATCGAACTTCATCCGTATTTCAACCAAGCTGAAATGCGTGAATATTGCGCTAAGAACGATATTGTTGTCACAAGTTATTCCCCATTATCAAACTTAAAACGAGAGAACGAACGAGAAGAAGATGCATCGGCTTTATACAATCCAGTTATTCAAGAAATCGCCAAGGAAAAACATAAAACTACAGCACAAATTATTATCCGTTGGCATCTTCAACACGGTCTTGTTGTTATACCGAAAACCGTAACACCGGAAAGATTAGCTGAGAATGCTCATATCTATGACTTTGCATTGTCTGATACTGATATGCGTCGAATTAATCAACTGGGTGAAACACATCGTCGACGTTTTGTTAATCCACCGTTTCTTCCACCTGGTGACAAGCCAGTCTTCGATAATTGATTATGAAATTCATCATCAGAAACTATCTTCGATATTCTCTTTTTTTTTATAAACATGCTCTGTAGGAAAAAGTAAACGGTTTGAATCATTTTAAAACTAGTTGACCGATGATTGGTATGAATCAATGATTCGAACAAGTCATACGTTGAATGGCGCAAGATGTCATGCTGAAGGCTTTATTTAGCTGCATCTCAAAAGACCATTACAGATGTGAACTCGAGCGCCAAATGGTGATATACTTTATAAGAATAATTGAAAAGTCTTGGGGACGTTTTGTCAAATCGATAAATATAATTGAAATGTATAAAAAAAAAGTAGAGAAACTTGAAGTTCGAAAAACTTATTACAGACGGAAGACATGATCATGGTGCGTTGAGCATTGCGAAAGTACTGTAAAAGTACCATCTTCATATTGCTTGTAATGATTGTTAAAGGATGATTGCATCGGATGTTCTTCGTGAGAATTATTGCTTTGCTTTTGGTTCAATTCGGGATCCATACGAACTGATTCGTATAATTCACGGCCATCAGGTCTTAAAGAGCGTTTAGGTCGTTCATCTGGTATAGAGGATAAAGGCGGGTAGATAACTTTTGCTGTTTGCCGAGCGCGATATCGTTCCTATGAAGAAATAATCAAAATGTTTTATTTATGTGATCAAATTTACCTCTGCCGACATCGGTGAACAGTCACTACACTTCTCATTTGCATTCATTTTAGTCGAAAATGTCGAACCCATGTCTTGTTCTTCCATATATATTAATTATCATCAGTTCGATTATAAATAACGAATTTCTTTCTATGCAACATCAAATATTTATTTTCGACAATTCGTTCTGTATCTGTCATTAGGAAAGGAAGAAAAACGGATGAGTAATAAATTGATGAGTAAAGGAGTCTAAAACAGATGGAAATGAATGGTTCTGTTTGTCAACGAAGTAATTATATATTGATGAGAAAAACGTTTCGATTGGTGTTTTGAAATTTTAATGGTCGATAAATAATTCGCATGCGAAGACAAATTGCAATACAGATAGTTCCTTACGCACTTTCTATATTGTTTTTTGCTGTCGTTGTGCAACAAGAATGTTCAAAAATAGGCATATTCACCGAAAAACAACAGTTTCATAAAGGAATAGCGGAGAACTATTTGTCTCTAGACGTCACAAACGTTCAATATGAGAAGAAAGGAGCAAAAACAAGTATATGGCTCTTACGAACCAAAGAATTAGTTTTCGAGAAAAGAAAGAACGATGTAATGATCAAAAAACATTGAAAGATACATAAATAGAGAGAAAGAGATCAATTTCAGTTAAAAAATTCAAATACGAACAATATGAATAGAAAGTGTTCATAAATTTGTTACGGACATGCGCTGTCGGCAAATCGGACAAATTCGAGTTATTAACAACCAGTTTGTCACACATTCTGGATGAAATAAATGTCCACATTGTAGTTTTTTCAATTGTTCATTCGCTTCGAAATTTGATCGACAAATAGCACTGAAAAGAAAAACAACGAATATAATCAGATGTAAGACTTTACTCGTACCAGTCAGTTTGATTAAATTGATCGGACTCCTGTCCGAATGAGATCGTAGGTAATGCATCGATATTTTCTTGTGATGCTGGTGGATTCGTATTGATTGTCATTGGCGCTGCGGACAGCCATCCCTACAACATATTTTCAATCAAAACACTTCCAAGATCTATTCATCCTACTCGAAGCGATTCTAGCAATGGCACAGTAATCGATGCAGGTAAACAATAACTTAAAATAACTCCGAAAAACACTCCTAAACAGCATAATATACAAATTAGTGGAATGGCGATCAATGGCGATAGGATTCGAATCCATTCCCAAATCAACAGTATTCGATACAATTCCGGTGCATCTGCTCGACACGGTTGGCCCGATCGTGGTTGAAATAAAAATAAAGCTCCAACGGAAAAATAATAAATCACAGCAATGGCACCCACATAATTTACGATATATTGTACAACATAATAACGAATGTAAATTTGTCGCCCACGGTTCAAACGTAGACATAATTGACTAATAGTTAAATTTACTATATGAATAATTGTGGTGCAACCGAAGAGAATTAAGCCAACAAACGCATATGACTTCAATGGAGATCTCAAATACAAATCTTCGCTGTTATTGTATATACATGTTGATTGTCCAACGTCTTTCATGGCTGTTGCCACTGTTCCGATGTAGGTTAAATTGATAGTAAGGACGAAAACAAGGATAAAGCATTCAACAATGAATGAACGTCGAACTGGTAGTTCGGGTTTGGTCGGTGGAATGAGGATGAGTAACCATGTACTCAAACAAACAATACCAAGACAAAAACGTATCAATTCGCAACCAGAATTCGCATCTGCTCCTGGCGAAAATGAGTATCCGGTTCCAACACATACAGGAATAAGTTTGAAAAACACGAAAAAGCCTCGTAAAGCCGAAGCACTCCGCAATTGTGCAACTTTTTGTTCTTCACTTAAGTTCGAATTTCTCGGAGTTATATTCCGAATGAAAAGAAGAAGAATAATTGTTAAATCAATAAAATAAAATATTAATAGGCAGATCGATGTTATAGCCAAACGATTTGACATTTGACAGGCATGTTTGCTTGATGTTAAACCAATCAATAGAATTGTAATGTCAATAATACGATACATTAAATGAAGTGAACTACCAGACAATAATCGATCAACTTTGGTAAATGTGCTAATCCATGTTGAATCCTCAGCTTCTGGAGGCGCTGGCGATGATAATTGTGTTGTAATTGGAATAGTTGACGAAGTACTTGTTGGGGTCACACGATTTTCACCAGCACGGTCGGCATTTGGATGGTAAACAGTTGTGAAATGTGAGAGAATACGGTTGACGCCACCACCTGACCCGCCACTATCGATGGGTGCTGTCGACATTTGTTATACTTATTACAGATGATAATCGAGCGAAGAATGTGAAATAACTATTAAGAGAAAAAAGTGCGAAAAATGTAAATAAATAAATGGTAGATTCTATTTGATTTCACGCTCTTGCGAGTATTTATTGGTCAAATTATTATATAAAGAAGAAAACACTAGATATTAATCGTTTGTTTTCATTCTGGCATAAAATACAATACGAAAAAGCAGAATAGGATGCTCACTGTCTTCTAAATGGATAAATATAATTTCTTTTCTATGTATTACATCAATATTACTGTTTTAGTTTACACTCAAAAATACGGAGAATGAAATGATTCATCGAAATGATCTAGTTACGCATCTTCTTAATTGTTTTTTTTTGTTTTAGAAGAATATTAAGCGTACTTCAATTTATATTGTTTGAGACTTGTAGAATAAAAAGGTGAAAATGCGTTGCATTTTATATTAAAGTAACAGTTGAGGAAGAAATAAAAAGAAAAATAACGGAACGGAAGCTGAAAAATGCTAATGCTATAATAGGCGTCTCTACTGTACCAATCATGTGAGTAGAAAAGAGGGCATTGGTGTCGTCATTTAATATTTCAAACAAGATGAGCACATGTAGTTCATTTTCACTCGATCTCGATACAAAAACTCGAATAAATGTTATGATAGTTTGAGCACAATTATCAATGAAGCAAAGATATGTGAAATCATTTCGTTGTTTACCAGCGCTGTCTGTTCAATATGGGTACTTTTTCTCTCTTTGACAGAGGTAATTTATTAACATTAGATCTTGTCAATATTCATTTACCAAAAAAATATAAGTTACTAAACAAGGAACGATGAAATTGCTCGTGGAGAACATGCGGAAAACAGACGAATAATTGAAGGGTTTCCATCTGTTCATATGTGCGCACCGATGAATGTTGAATCCGATGTAATAACGATCTTTTTCAAAAGGGCATCACGACACACTTGAAAATTCAATATTATTACTCACGAGATATCATTCCGAATGTCATGTGTATGTTACATCGGAGCAAACAAACGTGTGAGACACGAGATGAGAGATATGTTAGATAAATATTTTATCAATGGTTTTCTTATCAGCGTATGGTAATATTCTATGATTATACATTCAGAATTCGAAGTAATTTTAATCAATAGTGCCGACGGTCGGTAATGAAATTCAAATGATGATACACTTCTGAGAAAGTATCATTCATCGAGAAATTGTTTATAGAAACATAGTCAATAGAAGCCCGTTCGAATTGTGTTTAGCCACATGCAATGAGAATATCCATGTTTTCGGAAAACCAAAACAACAAGGATATTGTGAATCTATTGACAAGTGCAACAAACGAACTTTTATGGGTTGTATAAGATTAAGAACTTCGAATACAAGGTAGTGAATTTTTCTTCATGACTATTTACGATGAGGAAGAAGTGTTTATGATGAAAATGATCTTTGGTTTCAATTCGTAAAAGTCACCGAGGATTGATATAAATTTATCGTTCCCTGACATTTATATTTCTTTACAAACCAGTTCATATCATAATGTCGGTTATTTACTTGTTGATTCTTTGAAATTATGCAACTATATGAACTACAGTCTTTTCGTTATTAGTGTTTAACCGTGGGTCTCAATAGACGAGGAAAATGACGTGGGAATATGACGTAAAACTGAGATGCACTTCTCTGGATATTTTCACTCCTGCAGCTTATTCAATTTAGTAGTTCGTGTCCTTGAACCAAATTCCATCGATGTAGTAAAGAATACTGCCTTATTTAATTGAAATAGGTGCAGTCAGGTACGATAATTTAATGATATTCTCCTTATTTATCTTTTGTTTAAGCCTCATTTGTATTTTGATGAGTTTATACAGAGAACTAACACCCTAGATGTGCTATTAATTTACTAAATAAACGTTACTACCTCCTGTTAACGTACAGACACAACTCATACGTACTGAGATCGAACAATGATTCTACTGCGTATGTTACCAGTATTCTACACAGAACGTTTTGTGCAAATTATTAGTATTTTTTCTGTTATAAACTGCGAAATACAGTTCGTTCTACACATTTTGTTTCATTCGTTATTTTTTTCTCAAATCTAGAGGTCATTAAAGTACTTGTAGAATACGATTGGTTGATAGTTTTCTTCTATCGATAGATACTTCTATACCCCACGGTAACTTGTTCGTAATATCTGAAACAAGATTCAATCGTTCGGACGCTTTTTACACAAGTTTTTCGCTGGATTAACATAAAGAATATGCTCACTGAGAGCTTGTTGCTCTTGAAAATATTGTCGCCGTGTGATATATGTGAACAAGGTGGTGTACGAATGATAATTTTGATTATAATAATTTCGATTTGTTTCTTTAGAAAAACGATTTGATGCGATGTGAAAATGATTGAATCTTACTTTGATTTGATGGTGTTTGTTTAGCTAAGGTAAAATGACGATTTTTATATTGCCTGATGAGCTTGTCATGGGAAATGTTATTCCAAAGAGCCAAACATGGCGATGGAGATGATAGGCGCACAGTTGGTTGATGTTTTAGATGAGATACATCCGGATGTGTCTCGTGTCTACTGCAATCGTTTGAAGAATGAGTCGGCATCAGAGGATTTTCTTCTAATGATTGGCCTTCCATTAACTGTTGTGTGGAGAGCAATCGAGTTTTGGCAGAAGGTGTTATCGTGAAGTCATCGCTAAATAAAATAGGTCATGGAACGTATGCGTTGGAATGAAATAGAGTTTTACTATTGAATCACTTTTTTGTGATGGGATTGGAAAGAAGTTGTAGTAGAACTAAAGAAATATTCATTTTGAATATCAAAGTTTGATGATCTGATAAGAAGACTGACATCCCGTCGATTTCACGAGTAGACTCACACAATGTCGAAATGTTATCAGAGTTGGAAAGTTTATTGACTTCGTTTTCCTCAAATTGAATAGTGTGAGGTGAACGCGAGGGCTGTTCATTCGAGAGCGATGCTAAAATAGACATCACCAATGAATTCATAGTCACTTTATACGTATAAAAACTTTACAGAGTGTTGACAGAGACATTCCTTCTTTCGTTGGAATCATTTCCAATGTTTCGAAAGATAAATTTGACTGTAAAGTTGGTTGTTGAATAGCTGGTCTCGTTAACGAATCGTTGATGAATGAAACACTCTTCGATGGCGTTTTAGTTCGTGAGATCGCAATAGATCGCTTTGATTGAAGACTTTCATGAGTGACATTTGCTTGTTTTTGAAAGTTTTCATCAGTTGACATCGAAGTGACAGTAGTGAACGAAGTTTGATCTGTAAGAAAAAGAAGAAGAAAGATTTATTGGTCAGTCGTTCGTTTGGCAATAGTTGAAACACTTGTGTCGTTGGGCGATTTTGAATAATCATTAGAAAATACATCCGAATACACGATTGTGTCGTTATTTTCAAATTGCTTTTTGAAGGTCGGAGAATTCGACGCTGACAATGTATGACGCGAGTTTGGCGAACCGTTCTTCTCTGCACTAGTATCATGTTTAGATGATTTAATAGCTGACTTTCGGATAAAATGTATTAGACAATTCTACGATATTTGAATTAGTTTAAAACAACCTGGAGATTGAGAAGACGTGTCTTGCTGATTGTTTGGAAATATCTGTAAGTGTGGTGATGAAGAAGATAATAAATAGGATGGTTGAGTAGTTGAATTACTTCCATTGCGCTTAGTATTCGGTAGTGTCTGATGCGATTTCGGCGTGAGACCAGAATCAAGTCCGTAATTCACAGCACTCTCAACCCAATCGGACTCTGATAAATGCATTCTCCTAAATCGACTGCTTTGTATTTGCTCTCCTTTCATCGGATCCAAAAGATTGTCACCACCAAGTGGCGATTTCATGTTCAAGAGTATATCGTTATTAATCGATGATATATTATTGGATTCTTCGTTCATTACTTTATTGCTGTCATGAGCTGATGGAGAATCTGGCTTTTTTTCTATAGATTTCGTGAAAGTATTTCTTTTTGACAAATAAGAGCGTTGAAGGGAATTATTTACTGATCGTGTTATTCGTCGTAAATGCTGAGTCCGATTTATTTATGTCTTGTTTGACAACGTCAGGAATCTTTTCAGAGCTATCAACAAGTCGTTTTACAATCTAGAAAGGAAACACAGGAAAGCACGTCAAACATGATCGCTTATTAATAGTTCATAGATACTTTATCTGAGTCAATATTGTTTGACAAAGTCTGTGGAGAATGACTCAGTTGGTTCTCGAGAATCCCCTCTACTAATAAAATGGAGATATTTTGCTATATAAAGAACATATGCATACTTAGATTTGGTTTCTGCTCTACTGGCGAATTGTCGACTTGAAGTAATGAATGATCGATCTTCGTGTTTATCTTTTCTTCATCATCTGATTTTTTACTTCTAAATCTTTTATTTTTGTGTCCTTTTCTCAAACAACATATTGGCGTCAAGCCCGTATTCACTTCCCGAACGTCTCCCAATTTCGAACTAATTCCACATGTTGTCATCTTCGCTTGATACGACGTAAAACCGATTTCATCTTGCAGCCATTGTTTAAATCGCTGAGAATTCTTCATCGAACGATATTTCGCATAGAGGGCCGAAAGGTTATATATCCCCGATCGATTTAAAAGACGTTCATTCATTTTTCCGATTCCTGGCACACATGTTAGTGACGTATGTTCGACGCAAAAAATGAAGCACCGATGTTTATTCGTTCGGATTTGTAATGGCTGATGAACAGTTGTTTCAATCGAATTAAGACATGGATGAATTTTCGATTTTGTCGAAATCATCAAGAAACTTGAAAAAAAAACGAACAAAACGATCGATTTCGAAAGATGAATACATAGCAACATATTGATTCTATTGTCATTCTAGATTAAATAGTGCGATTTTGTTCTGAATAAAATCAAAATTCGAAAAATTGAACGTTTTCCAATGTTACATTGTTTCCTTTTCCGTCATCTTCGATATTCAACACCAAAACCTCTTTCGTCATTTCGACGAACTCATTCATTATATCCGCTAACCATCCGTGAGATCTTCGAACAAAAACCACTCAACCAATCGGTAAATCTCATCGGTTATCTGCTCAACATTCGAAAGCAGAAAACTCATTATTTCCTCGATCTATTCGATGGCTCGTTAACGAACAATCGAAAACACTTACAAGTCGTTGCACCATTAAATTTTCACCCAAACTTACCTCGTCTCACCTACGGCTGTTCTGTAAACATTCAAGGAAAGCTTATTCCAAGTGACCATCCGAAGCAAGAGTATGAATTCATCGCTGAGCAAATCAATTTAATTAACTCGTGCGATGCATCGAACTATCCATTCAAACCAAAATCTAACGAAACACTCGTCACATTACGTCAAGATGAACATCTTCGTTTGCGTTCAACACTTAGCCAAGCTATTTTTCGTTTACGAAGTCAATTAATGTATAGTATACATGAGTATTTTCAAGAACAGAATTTTATTCAGATTCAAACACCGTGTTTAACTCGAAATGATTGTGAAGGTGGAGGAGAAACCTTTCGTATTCAACCGTATCGATCGAGAGTAACGGAAAAAGAGAAGGAATATTTCAATACGCAAGTTTATTTAACTGTTTCAGGACAATTACATCTTGAAACAGCAGCTAAGTATGACCTTGTTAAATTGTCGTTCTCAAAAGAGATTTTCAGTGTTTTTTATTAGTGGTTTTGGTCGTGTTTATACATTGAATCCAACATTTCGTGCAGATAAGAACTTCAGTCGATTTCATCTAGCTGAATTTTGGATGTTAGAAGTCGAAGTTGCAGGTAACACTGCTGCGTTATTTCCATGAATTGTGTTAAATAATTCATGTATCTAACAAGAAATGTCAGCAATTCTATTGATAAAAAGTTAATTAAGGCTTTCAGACACATTGTAGCGTCCTCTGTTGACAATGAATACAATCTGATTAATGAGAAAACCGTTGCCTCGTGTAGAATATTCGATTTCTTTACTTTTCTTTTCCTCTTTCTAGGTCTAACCCAACTGGATAAACTTCTTGATATATATGTTCATCTTTTACGTACTGTCGCTGGTCAAGTTCATAAGAAATGTTCGGAAGAATACAAACATCTACTGAAACACAACATTCAACCGAAATATCTCGAACAACTACTCAATCAGACCGATTTTCCGCGAATAACTTACCAACAAGCTACAGAATATCTACGAAAAAGCGCTGATTTCCATCAATTTTCCGACAATGATGATTTCACTCGTGCACATGAACATTATCTATGTCACACAGTGATGAATAACCAAGCGTTTTTCATCGTTAACTATCCGAAAAAACTGAAACCATTCTATATGTTAGTGAACGATGACGAATCGACCGTTGCCAACTTTGACTTCATTTTCCCATCCATTGGTGAACTATCCGGTGGAAGTCTTCGAGAGTATCGTTACGAACAGTTTAAACTATGTTTAGATGAACTAGATATCACACGTGATCTGCAGTGGTATCTGGATTTGAGAAGATTCGGAGGTTTACCAACCGGCGGTTTTGGTTTAGGTATCGAGAGATTTTTAATGGCTCTTACTGGTATTGATAATGTTCGAGATGTGATTTTGTTTCCTCGTTATTATCAACATTGTGATGCATAAAGATTGACCAGATTGCGGCTTGTTTGTTCTTTTTCAGATAGTTATTTCGAGAGAAACGAAACAAAATGGTCAAGTTATCATCGAGAAAACGTCGACGGGAAAGTAAATATAAGAACAATGTTAACGACAATTCCGAACACGAATATCAAGTCGAAGCGATCGTGGATAAACGTGTTCGTGGAAGAAAAATCGAATATCTATTAAAATGGCAAGGTTACTCAAGTGCAGATAATACCGTAAGAGTTTCGACGAAACCTAATGTCATTTCGCATTTAGAATAAAGTTTATTTACAAGACAAATATCTCGAATTAAGGTTTGGAGTGTTTCGTAGTTTAGTAGCTCGTAACTGATGTGCTGCTTGTCTTTCATGAGAAGACGAGATTACTTGATTAACTCTAGAGTAGATTTTAGTGTTTAGAATAGAAAAAAAAAACAAATGGAAATGTGATTTTGTATGTTTAGTGGGAAGATGTCAGTCGTTTGAACTGTCCAGATTTAATACGAGAATTCGAAGAGCGATCAAAAGTCACGAATAATCAACGAAAATCATCTCCACGAAAACGATCAACATCAACCAAAGCTAAGAATACGAATATGCATGAGACAGATGAAGATTATCTAAGCGGTACAGATCAATCTATGGATACAGAGAATGATGTTGAATCGACTGGAAATGACGAAGATACTCGAATGGCTACACGTAACAGTCCACGGAAAAAAGTCAATACCGAGAGTTCAATGGACGATTCATCATCAACTCGTCGCCATTCTACTCGGAAAACTGCCGATCAAACCAAAACTCGTATAACAACAATGTGTAAGTATTCTTCTACGGCCAATCATGTTCAATGTAATCTTCGTTTGATTCTAGATCAAAGTACAAACAACAACAATGATGAAGTTGATAATGTTATAGAAGAAATAGTTCCATCAAGTCCAAAGCGAAAGAAAACATCGAATGAAAAACCGATATTAGTTCTTGACGAGACAAACTTTTCAAATGAAATTGTTTCTCCTCAAAAGACACCAACAAAAGAATTCAATGTAAGTGAACCAACAACGATCAATCTCTGTCTTCATATCTCACCAAGTTCAAGTTCATCGATTTCGGTTGCATTGAATGATAATGATAACAATAACAATCCGAATGGTAAAGTTTCTACAAATATTCAAACATCCGAACAGGACATCGATGAAAGTGATCGAGTGGATAAGATTGAAGCTGTCCGTTATGCTCGTGATGAAATTGCCTTCCGCATCAAATTAATCAATGAAAATCGTTCACAATGGATCTCAGCTCGAGTAGCCAATCGAAAATATCCTCAAGCAGTCATTGCCTTCTGGGAAAATCATGTCCAATTCATCTAAATTCAACATTATCTTTCTGTTTGTCCACGTGCGTGCGTGAGTGTGTGTGTGTGTGTGTAGATATGCGTTTATGTAAACCAGGTATAATTGGAAGAAAACCCAACCGAACATGTACTGCGTTTTTTTTTTCTTTCAGTTCGTTTAAGATTTTATTGTTAGCGTATAAAATTCGAATTCGTTACATCTTATTGTTTATTCGAAGAAAAAAAAAGATGAAAGAAGAATAGTAGTAAGCGTTTCGATGTTTTCGTTTCAGATGCCGGCGCCTTACATGTTACACGATCGGCTGTTTTCGCAATTGAGAGAGGTGATTATGATGGAATGGGAAAGTACAGAATGTTATTTTGTTTTCATCTAGTTTCTATTAGAAGATACGAAGAGAGTTGGATGGAGTTTGGAAAGAATCGCACAAGCTTTGAAAGATCGATATCGGTAAAAAGATGTCTTGGGAATAGCATATGTATGAACTTGGTTTTAGAGAATATCAACGACAGAAGATAAGACCATTTACTCATTCTGTAGAAAAAGGTAGGATATCGACTGGAAGAATCGAAACATAATTTATCATAAAGGTTCTTTTGAATTATGTTAAGCGTACAAAGTTCTACTAAGTGATAACGACTTTCTTACTACTGTTTCATCGAAAAACCAAACCTTACCGAATGAATCGTGAGTTTCAGCTTTGAAAAGTCGTCAAAACTGTGCTTCATATCTCCGTAGATCTTCGGAATCTGGAGCGGAATGGGATGAGCAAGCAACTCATGTAAATCTACGATGAAATTCTATATTTCAGAAATCTTATCTCGCTGATCTAGTTTAGCGTCCTAATACTATGAATCAAATGGTTGCTAATCTCTATGCAAACAACACTGGAGCGTCATCGAGTACTCCTGAAAATTCCACGGCTCCAATGGACACGTCGGCCAAATCTGACGACACGAAACGGAAACAAATGAGTGAAAAGCCGGCGAAGAAAGTAAAAAGGAAACGACCGATAGAATCTCCATCGGCCAACGACATTGAAGGTATGAAATATTCGTTCTCAACGATCGCTCTAAATCTCTTTTGGTTAGGCCCTGATGTCGAATATTCGACGATTACATTCGAAGATTTTGCTGCATCTGATCAATTTAAAGAAGTATGTGACGTTGTTTTATGGCCTATGAAAATAGAAATGTTTGATGATTGGTTTTAGAATTTAATTCGTCGAATCTATTTCATCTTACGGCCGGAATGTTTTATTCAGAATGGGAAAACACCGCCGCGTGGATTTCTTTTACATGGACCGCCAGGTGTTGGAAAATCTCTTTTAGCTCAGGCTTTGGCAGGCGTATGCACACCTTCCAATTCTTATTACCACTTATTTCAATTTTCTTCTTAGGAATTGAACTTACCGATGTTGAAAACAACATCGACCGAACTAGTATCAGGTATATCCGGTGACTCCGAATATAAAATACGCAAGTTATTCGATCAAGCAAAAGTACAAACATCTTGATACTCAATCGTTAAAAATCTTGAAAGTCTATTTTGTGATTTATAGCGTCATTCGCCGTGTATTCTGTTTATCGATGAAATCGAAGCGATTTCCCAACGTCGTGAATCAGCTTCAAAGGATATGGAAAGACGGATTGTTACTCAATTATTAGCCTGTCTCGATGGTATGTATCAAATCATCTCATTGAATTGTCTCCGAAAAGTTTCTCATATAGAATTATCTCATTCGCCAATGACTCGCGTTATCATTATTGGTTCTACTAATCGACCTGATTCACTTGATCCAGCGTTGAGACGTGCTGGTCGATTTGATCATGAAATTGCTCTGGGAATTCCGAACGAAGTTGAACGACGAAGGTAAAAAGTTTGTGAAGAAATCTTTGTCATCATACATTACGTTACAATAGAATTCTAACAATGATGTGTCGAAAACTAACTTCACTGGATTCTCAGTTTAATCTCGACGAGCTTGTTTTGAAAACGCCCGGTTTTGTTGGTGCCGATCTAAGTGCATTGATTGACGAAGCATTGTTTGCAGCATTGAACAGGTACAGATAGATCTGAATGTGTACTTTTGAAAATGAATCCATTTAGAAAAATAAATTCTGACATCGATACAAATCAGTCGAGTAAGTTTGTATTTAATAACTATGTCAAGTTTATGCAAAGTTTGACAGTGATTGAATGGGTGAAACAGAAAATTCATGAACCCGAAACCGAAGAACAAACAAGTGCGAGTTCACATGTGATCACCATGGATGATTTTCGAGTATGTTCAAAGGACAATCATCTTCTCGTACAGCTATCTTTCTGTTAAATAGAAAGCTTTAAAAAGTGTTCAACCATCAAGTAAACGAGAAGGTTTTGCCACAGTACCGGATGTTACATTTGATGATATTGGTGCATTGAAAGATGTTCGTGAAGAATTAAGCATGGCAATTCTAGTAAGATTCTCTTCTAAGATTTTAAAGTCGATAAGTTTTTTGCTATAGGCATCCATTCGTCACCCAACTCTATATGATCGATTTGGATTTGTTCGCTCACCTGGAGTTTTACTGGTTGGTCCACCAGGATGTGGTTCGTAGTTCATCATTTCGATATGTATAGATCATCTACTCAATTATTTACTTGTAGGCAAGACTTTACTTGCCAAAGCAATTGCTAATGAATCTGGCATCAATTTTATTTCAGTCAAAGGACCGGAATTATTGAATATGGTATGTTTTCTCGAAGAATGACTCTGTTTTACCATAGTTAGTTGTTTGTGATTATTTGAATAGTACGTGGGTGAAAGTGAGCGTGCCGTTCGACAAGTATTTCAGCGCGCGCGGGATTCCAATCCATGTGTGATATTTTTCGACGAGATTGACGCACTGTGTCCGCGTCGAACGGCTCATGATACTGGATCAACAGCACGAGTAGTAAATCAATTACTAACTGAGATGGATGGCGTGGATCAAACTACTGCAAGCAAACGCGTTTATGTCATGGCAGCAACAAATCGAATGGGTTCGTCAGAGAGACAAATTCGTCCCTAGAGGAAAATCAATCATCTTTCTATTCATATTAGATATTCTCGATCCAGCTATTCTGCGTCCAGGTCGTCTTGATAAACACATATACGTTGGACTTCCGAATGCCCAAGGACGACTTGACATTCTCAGAACAATTACCAAAGTATGCAATCCGCGTTTTCTCCTGTCAAGCGCAAGCAGTAGAAATGAAATTCTATTTTTGTAGAATGGCACTCGGCCACCGCTGGCATCCGATGTTAATCTACAGTTGATGAGTGATGACGAACGATGTCATGGTTATACGTAAGTGTCATTTGACTTGAAAAAGACTCGCTGAATACAAAGACATACTGATCTGCTATTTCCAGGGGAGCTGATCTCGCTGCATTGATTCGTGAAGCATCGGAAATTGCAATGACAGATCATATTTCTAAAGTGCTACCACCCGAAGACGCTTGCGTTCATCAATCACACCTCGATCGGGCATTCAGTAAAATTCTTCCATCCGTATCTGAAACGGTGAGTAATCTAATCGAGTTACATGTTCATATAATATTCAATGTTATTAGGACCGTCGACGATATGAAGAGCTGCGCCAGTCATGTCTTCGTTTACAATAAATTCTAAGTGTAATTTTTCTTTTTTCTATTCAAAAAAACGAAGAGAAATAAAACAAGAGAAAAATATTGATATGCAACGAACACACAAACACACAAAGAAGAAAAGGAAAAGAAATTGAAAAATAGAAGAGATACGTCAACCGGTCAAATCAAAGAGAAGACAAATCCACAAAGAATTAAAATAATTTAGTTGATGTTAATTTTATCAGACGTACTCTTTCCGAATTGTAATAGATGAATTCAATGAAATCGAAATGATATCTTCTATCTGACAGAAACTATTGTCTGTCATACAAAAAATCATTTTTTGTTTGCTGTTTTTCTCTATTTCTGGACGGAATATACAAATTGTATTAGCGGTCATCTGGATTGACCGTACTAATACTCGGAGTTTCGCCATCGTCAGTATCATCAATAACACGTATAAGACGTTTTGGTTGAGCTCTTAATACCGACGGTGAGAATGGTGGATGTTGCTGGGAATTAGTTGTACTGCGTTTATAAGTTGGCGACAGATGTGTTGATTGTTCCGTAGATGCTTTTCTTTCTTGAGGTTTCCGCGGACGTGATGGGACCGTATTTGAACGACGATGTGACATACTTTCTGTATTGATTTCGTTATTTAGTGGAATAGATTCTTCTTCACGATCTGATGATGGTGATTTATCAATTTGTAACAGTAGAAAACGTGATGTTGAACCAACGACTGAGGCAACAGATGAACCCTTAACGACCTCAATTGGTTTAGCTACAAAGCAAACATTATTCATTGTTTTCGGAATACAGAGCTCGGTTACGTACATTTTTGTCGACGCACTGTGGGTGATGCCATCGAATGGAAGGTAAAATTTGGCGGAAGAGACAATTGTTTCGTTAATGGAAAAATTTGAGTATTCGTGTCATTTAGGAACTATGAAAGAACTCTCAGATGATAGATTCTACATAACAACTGATCGAATTACTTACATCGAGTTCTTTATCATCTAGAAGTGATTGATTAAGATAATTTCGATCTTGTGCATCGGCTTCTAATTGTCTTTCAATTTCTTCATCGATTTCTGCATCATCGGCCATCATACGATTGGATTCCTGTTCAAATAAGCAAAATCAAAATGCACATGTCACACAAAATTCTTCTAATTTACATCGAGTTTCTTCATGAGAACAGCCACGACAACATTGACAAGCACAAATTGAGCCATGAGAACGAAAATGACAAAATAAACTGGAGCTACAGCAGTTACAAATTGATTTTTAACGCCATGAGGTGAATCATCTTGACGTAAAGCATCCTATTCAACAAATTGATCTTCCAATAAACAAGTTCTTGTCAGAAATCATCTTACCTTCATAATTCCATTCCAGTTATCACCAGTTGCAATTCGAAATAATGTTAAAAAAGCCATACCAAAATCTTTGAAATGCGCATGTTTATCTAGACCAGCACATGGACGTTCTTCACTACATTCTAGTTTTCCAAATAATTCAACTCCAAGAGCAGCAAATATGAAGAACAGAAGAAAGAATAGAAGACCCTAAATTATCCACTGAACATGATTCTTGTTGATAATTACGATTCCCTTACTAGATTTCCCACTTGTGGAAGAGCTTGAATAACTGTGTCTAATAATGCTCGAATTCCCTTTGCCATTTTGAGCAATTTTAGAACTAAATCGCATGCAAGAGATCAAGTAGATATACAAATTAAAAAAGACATTACCTCGAGCAATTCGGAGAACTCTCATCACACGAATCAATGTTGGATTGATTGGAAGTACTTGTCCACTTTTCATTTTTTCCATGACAATACCAGCAATTGATAGAATAACAATCATTATATCTAACTGATTCCATCTACAGAGCGAATAATGCATTTGAAATACAATCAAAAAGTAATTTACTTGTCTTTAAAATAACGTAATGGTCCTAGTGCGATTACTTTGGATATTGATTCCAATATGAACACACTTGTAAACACATAATTACAATAATCAAGTGCCAAGTCAAAAACCTAAAGGCACCTATAGAAAGGTTTTTCTTGAAAAATGTCTTCTTACCGGTGGCATTAAGTAAAATTCTAATGACATGGTAACAACGTTGAGACCGATGACAGCCGCAATGATCAAATCGAAATATTTACTATTACATATATCATGTAATCGTCTTCTCCATGGAGAAAAATGTGCATAGTACGGCACTTCGCGCATTCGTCGTCGTTTACGTTCGATTTTCTTTGCGCGTTTCGCTGTTCGACGTGCTTTCTCTTCTCGCTCTTGTTCGGCACGACACTTATGAAAGTTTTCTACCACAACACCAACAAACATATTCAACACAAAAAAGCCCACAAGTAATAAAAATGATATAAAATATATTAATTTAGCTTCATTATAATTTCTTATTGGTTGCATATCAACATCAACAGCATCGATGCCATTGTACATTATCTGTACCCAACCATCACGAGATGCTAAGACGAATAAGGCGAGTAATGCCTACGGAGAAAGTGGAAGGGATGATTGGGTGAAAAGCAAGGATGATTTTTACTTGGCCTAAATTATCAAAATTGTATTGTTGATTCTTCCAACGATGATCTGGCGTATCTTCACATTGTTGTCGTGTTGTCACATTGCGAGCGTATGGGCCCTCACAATAATAGAATTTTCCCTTGAAGAGCTACGAGAAAACAGCAGAGAAATGAGAAAACTATTGAAAATAGTAAAAATCAGAAGTACCTGTACACCAAGAATGCCGAAAATGATAAAAAATGTACAACAAATAACCACAATATGACCAATAGGTCTCAGTGATGACATTAAGGTTTGTACGACCAGTTTCAAGCCTGGTGCTCGACTGATTACTAAAGAAAAACCACATCGTCCATGACCAATTTACTTTTTTCTTCTATCTTCTTACCTCTCAGTGGCCTTAATGTTCTTAGTAGACGAAACACTCGTAACATACTAAATATACGCGTTGTCGCATCAGACTCTGCACCTGCCGACGGTCCAGCTCCTCGATGCATTGTCAAAAGATCGACTATAGATATAACAACAAGCGATCCATCCATAACATTCCATCCTGTATGTAAATAGGTTTGCGGTCCACATATAAGTCCACTAGCAATGATTTTTATAATCATCTCAACGCTAAATATGACAGTGAAGATATAATTGGTCATATTCAGAAATTGGCGTTCCTAAAAAATCAATTCAACTGATAAATGCTCGACAGACAATGAAAGTCGAAACATACAGCACTGTTGGATGGAATCGATGGACGCTCCATGGCTAATGTTATACAATTCAGAGCAATGAAAAACAGGACAGTATAGTCAAATGATTTCTTTATTATCAGACATTTCAATGCTTGCCGTAATCTAGCAAGAAACGTAAACTGTCATATTGTCGTCATCACAGTGGATTCTACTTACCGGTTTGTCGGTGAGAAAAGATAGAGTGAGTAATCTTCTCGTCGTTGAAACCAATCATACATACGTGTTCCACATAGATGAGAAAAACATGTTTGACAAAGCTAAATCGGAAAATTCGAAGAAATTGTGTATACTTAGCAAAACATCTTACGCCATTTTGTTCGAAATTTGGTGTTTTGACGCCTAGTTGCATATCGCTTTGATCGTTTATAACCGATAGTGTATTGAAATTCGCATCTGCGATCAATCGAATCGAATTAGTTCGACTTTTCGGATAGAATTGTTCACATTCGTGTTTTGGTGTTTCATAGATACTCGATGTTTCGTTTTTTGTTGTACGACGCGAAGAATTATCGAACGTCGATCGCCGTTCTCTCGTCGGATCCAATGAATTGATTTCTTGTTCAATTAATTTTCCATCTCGTTCAATGAAACTTCGATAGATCGTCGTCGTCGATGACGATGAGGATGTAGTTGATGGGCGTTGAGAAGCAGTTCGACGTATTGGCACGCATTTTTTTTCTTGCTGACTTGAATTTGTCTGAGATAATGAATTGCGAACGTTTCTCTCAACGCACGGTAATGGAGGAGGCGGCGTTGAAACATGTGGGATGAACTGTTTTTGTGTCGATTTCGTAAGTCCTGTAGTCAAGGAGATATTAACAATATTTGATGAACGCCGTCCACCTAAACTGTATTGCCTTCTGAGAATATTTTGATGTCGACTTGACATTGAAGTAGTTGATATTGTATCACGTCGTTTAAAAGGTCTGCGTTCGCCGATGGATGCAGTTATACTTGTAATATCTTCTATTTGTGACATTTCGGAAATATCATTTTCAGTGTCATTCTCATCAACACTTTGTTTCTTTTTCAGTCCTTGATTTGTATGTTTAATAGTTGATGACTTTCGTGCAAGGTCATTCGAAACATAAGATTCGACTCTCGTTGGACATGTATAGTAACTTTGCGTCGTTGTTGAAGTAGATGAAGGTGTTTGAGGTTGAGAGGGACGATGTTTGATTATAGATTTATATGGCGATGGTGGAGTTGAGACAGTAGTTGCTCGTCGTCTGTTTGCTTCAAGCATTAATAAAGTTGGATCATCATCATTGTTACTAATGGAGATTTTTGGAATCATGATTTTTACTTCTATAAACGAACCCGATGATCAAAGATGAAAGTTAAGACATAACGTACCTTTTGTTGTACGAGTACTTCTGTTTTCATTATTACTATTTTTCGCACTTGCGACATCATCTGTAACTAATTCATGTGGATTAGCTGGCACTTCAACGTCTCCCGTTAAAAGAGCTTGAGTCTAAATGGTAGTGACCAACAAGTTGTGCGCATTTCATATTCAAACACTGAATCTTACTTTGAATGGATCAGCTTTGGCTAAGCGATCAGTACTACTTCCACTTTCTGAGCCACTACTTCCTTTCTGAGAACAATTTCATCATGATTAAACAAAATCCAAAATGGACAAGAATAGTTTCCTACCTCTGTCGAAAATCCTTCGACAAGAATAGCAACTAACAAGTTGAACAAAACATAATTTCCAAATGTCATCAATGCAATGAAATACAACGCTGCCCAAGCGCTTGTTTTCTCCATTCCATTGTAAAGTACTTCATTCCAATCTTCCTGTGTTAACACCTAGACAAAAACACGTCTCCCATTCTCAAATCTTCCATTAAATCAACATTCTACATAAGCAATTCATATAAAATACATCAAGCAGGACGGTGACGGGTGTGTGCGGAGAGAAGAATGAAAGCAAAAATTAGAAGTAGAGAATAGCAAATCATCCATATCTAACATATAATGTATAGAGGAGAGAAAAAGAATGCAGTAATTAACGGATAATAGGTAATAATTTCAATGCTAGATTTCATTCTCTAGACAAGAACTTGTCCGAGAAAAGTGATACCTGGAAGACGGTTAATACTGCAAAACGTAGTGAATCGAAATTTTTTCTCTCTTGTATACATTTGATATCTTGGAGGTCGGTATGATTTCTGAGAAGATCCATTTCGGGACACGTGCAACAACGACATTTCATGTCAATTTGTTCACGTGATGTGGAATTGAATGCTTGTAATGTACAAAATTCACCGCCAAATAAATGCATGCCAAGAATACTATTTGTCGATTATCGAAAAAAAACAAAAAACACAACAAACGAAATAGAATGATTCGGTGCAATGAGAGTCAAAACAAACGAGAACATCGAAAGCGATAACATATTCATGAATACGGACTGGCTGAGCTATCCTCGTGAATAGGGTATGTCTGTTTTTGCTGATTTGTATATGAACATGAAGGACAACATGCAAAGACAATATCAGCAATGACAGAGACGAAATTTTTATCAGTGAAATATCGAGATGTGCACGTATGTAACTGTGTTTGACTTTTTTAATTACTTGAAAGACAGTTAAAGTTGCCCATAAGAGAGAATCAAAATTCTTTCGTGAACACTCGAATTCAAGACGATTGCTGTGTTTATCTTCGATGTATTTGCAAAATTTGCATCCAAAAATATTCATACCCAAGATACTGGAGAAAGAAGTTTAGATTAGTTCAGATAGATTCAAAGATTCATTACAAATCAATGAATATGCCTGTCGAACATATTCGAAGATTTCTAATAGGTAGTCAGAGACAGAGAGAGAGAACGGAAAGGGTAGAACAACTAATAAACACTTACCTGAATATGAATATGAAAAGGATTAATAACGAGAAGAATGTCGCAACGTTATCCATCGTTTTGAGCATAACAACCTGAAGAAGATATTCCATCAAAACTTAATTTATACTCCGCATTTTGTCTTACCAATTGTCGTCGTAATGTTGGCATAAATCTCACTAATTTTAAAACACGTAACAAACGAAATGTACGTAGAACTGAGAGACCACTATTTTTATTTCCTTGTAATTCAACCACACTCATTACAACGATGATGCCATCGAATAGATTGTAAGCACTTTTGATATATTTCAAAAATCCATCAGCAATTATTTTGCAGATCATCTCAATTGCAAAGAGTGATGTGAAAACCAGATTACTATATTCCAATGCATTGGTCAACGACGCGGGTTGGCCATGATATTCAATACCCATGGATAATGTATTAATAACAATCGCCGAGAGGACGATTCGACGAAAATATTTACTGGCGACGAAAGCGGAGATCAGATGGCGAAATCTTGTAAAATAGGAGAAGATATATCGATTAAGACAAAGACGAACTCTCGATGGTGTTTTTTTGTGTTTATGTTCTTCTTGTTCAACATCATCATCTTCGTCATCGTCACTGATTTCACCTTGACGTTGACATTCACAAAATTGAATATTTGCCTTCTTATCGGATGTTTCAAGTAATAGATGTTCAACGATGTTATTTGCTGAGGGAATTATATTCACATCTGCACAGATAATTTCTGTGACATCAGTCATTTTCTTTGGATTATGTCTTGATTTCAATGGTGCTAATGTTGGCGTGACAGAATTGAGGACGAGTGGCTTCGATGGGTTCGTTTGTATTTCATTGGGGGGAGTTGGCGAGTGACCAGAATCGACAATTTCGGAAATTTCTGGACTGGCAGCAGGTGCTTCGATTGAATACGGAGATATGGATGAGGTTGTTGATGGACATGTCGGGACATTTCGTATCTCTGTAATTTGATACAATGGACAATTAGCTTGATGCGTGAAATGATGATTTGGTAACTGAGATGAACTGTTTGCTAATAATTTTCTTTGACGACGCTTTTCTTCTTCTAATAGGTGCTTTCTCTTAGCCTAGAAACAAAGAGAAGCTAAGCATTCTGACATGAAATGCCCGATTAGACATTACTTTGCCATGTTTTTGTTGATAAGCTAGCCAGAGTGCAACTAGACGTCGATGGCCGCGCTTCCAGAGATGTTCTAGATATTTGATTGTTTCTTCCCAACATGAGCCGGGTTCGTCACTCAACAATGTACTCGATGAGCGGGAAAATCGGCGACGTTCGGCAAGCATACGTTCAGTTTCACGTTTTTTTGTCTCACTAAACTGTGTAGCAATAACAACAAGACATAAATTAATCATAAAAAATGATCCAATAATAATTAGAAAGACAAAATAAATCCAATCCCAAAATGAATGAGCATCTTGTATATAATACATAATATTAACCCAACTTTCCAGACTAATTATCTACGAAAAAA